AAAAAAAAAAAAAAAAGAAAGAGAAAAAAAAAGCAATTCAGCAATTATAATTCCAGATGGTACCGAATCTATTCCATACTTTAAAAATCTGAAGTATTTTGCCTACCAGTTTAAGTGAAGAGAAATCTGGCTTGGAACTAAAGTGTAAGAGTTCAATGGTGCTACCCTTCTCTCCCCTTGACTTTCCAGTTGAGGAAGACAAAGCTTCACATGATTAAGCGCCTACATCCTCGGCCCAACCTGTGCCCATGGCATTTTAGTTTTCACCCAAATGGCACAATGCCTCGTGGAACATGAGCACACCTCGTATTTTTCTCTGTGCATAAGATATCCATGAGGAGATCCACAAAGGGATCCTTATGTCACCTACTCCCTGGTTTGACAGATGTCACTCTGTGGACTCATCCCTGTCACTGTGCCCTTGATCACAGTGAGTGAGTGGGATGGTGGGAGGTGGCAGCCAGAAGAGCCCCACACAACCAGCTCGCCTGCTTTGCCCCGTGACCCATCTACCAGCCTGCAGGCTAAGTTAAGGGGGACTTGAGGACACTCCGCATCCGAGGTCCTCAGAAGAAGGGAGACGTGTGTAAACTGTGCACAGACCACAGGTTAAGACAGCCAGGTCCTGGCATGTGGCTTCGTAAGTGAACTGCCAAACGGTTTAAGTTTAGAAGGAAAAGCTCTTACATAAGCTCTGGGAAACAGGAGTAGAAACCGCAAGAGTTAAAAAGAACCGCTCAAGTAACAGGGAAATACGCCTCCTGTGTTACATGTCTGGGTGGTCAGAGAACGCTTCTGGGTCGCTGCCGGCACGACTAGAGCCCGATGTTAACGATGCCTGCAGCTTGGCCCAGGCCTGAGGAGCCCTGCTCTTGGTGGCCTCTATAAACAGCTGGGTCTGCTCCTTCAGCTGGTCTAGCTCTGCCTGAGTCGCCTGGTTCTGACGAATCAACTCCTTGGTTTTCAGAGTGATCTCCAGCAGACCGGACTTGTGCAGGACCACCAGGGTATTCTGGAAGCGCCTGTGCTTGCTCCGCCGCTGCTCCGCGAAGAGGTCGGGGCTGCGGCACAGGTGCTCCGCGGCCCACAGAGGCGAGCCGTAGCTGGCTGACAGCGGCGACAGCGGGGAGCTGCTCTCCAGGCCATGCAGAGTGCTGTCTGACGCGCAGACGGGGCTGGCGGGGGAGGCAAAGGTCAGGCTGGGGGCTTTGGCCACGTGGCTGCTGGACACGGGCTGAAGAGTCTGTGGGCTCCCGCCTGCCACCAGGGAGGGCACACCCTGCGGGGCAGAGTCCGCGGCGAGCTTGGCACCTGGGGGTGCCGGCGCGGGGGGCCCGGGGGGCGCGGCACCAGGCTTGGTAGGCTCACTGGAAGACAAGCTCGGCCCAAGTCTCTCCGTGCAGACTTTCTTCTGCACCCCGTTTTCCCTTCTTTCTTCCGGGCTGAGGGAAAGGCCCCTTTTGCCCGGGTGGGGGGCTATTTTGGTGTAAGAATTTAGAATGGGCAAGTAGTTCCTGGAGTCCGACTTTTTCTCGCCGGCGTGACATGGGCTGACGGGAGCGGGCGCGGGCGGATGGAGGAACAGCAGCTGTGGCTGAGCCGAGATCACTTCGAAGGAGGGCTGGACGGTCCACGACTGGAGCTGGGACGAGCTGCCGCCCTGAAAACAAAAGAAAAGAACGGCACGCTACTGTGACCCGCCGAAAGGAGAGGGGCTGCGGCCTTCTGCCGGATGCTTGTAATTTCAACTACAGGGCTTCCTCACGTGGGGGGGGGCAGCCCTTCTAGAGAACCCGACCGGAAAAGTGGCTGGAAAATCCATCTGAGTCTGCTATCATTGGGCTGTTGTTTTTTAAGCCTACTTACGGGAACACTGAAGGAAATACCGGTTTTTATTCAAGTGCTATCACTGAGAAAAAGAAATTGTAGGTAGGTGAAGCCATGACATGGTTAAGGTCACAACTGAGGCAATTATAATATGGGCGAGTACAACTGCCTGGCGTAAGCTGAAGTGTGCTAGTCTCAAGCCTACAAATGTGTCTTCAGGACAAAGTCTGTCTTCATTTGGTTATACCTGGAACCTCTTCTACCTGAAACCGACTTTTTTTTTTTAACTTTTTTTTTTTTTTAACGTTTATTTATTTTTGGGACAGAGAGAGAGACAGAGCATGAACGGGGGAGGGGCAGAGAGAGAGGAAGACACAGAATCGGAAGCAGGCTCCAGGCTCTGAACCGTTAGCCCAGAGCCCGACGTGGGGCTCGAAATCCCGGACCGTGAGATCGTGACCTGAGCTGAAGTCGGATGCCCAACCGACTGAGCCACCCAGGCGCCCCCTGAAACCGACTTTTGATTAGAAAGTTACATGTTGTCAGGGCCCCTGTTTTTGAAGTCAGTGATGCCCCAGCAACCAGAAAGCCACTCAAGCGAACAGTGCCTACCTGGTACTTACTAGGGGTTGGCACTGTGTGTGATGGTTTCTGGGGGTGCTTCCATTTACTGTCCCTAAGAACCCATGTGGTCCTTACTGTCTCCTTTCATAAATAAGAAATGGAAGCTCAGAAAGTGGAAACGGCTTGCTTTAAGCCTCCAAGCTACTAAGTGACGGAGCTAGGATTCCATCCTGGGTCTGACTCTAAAACCCAGCCTAACCATTCTCTACTCTGCTTTTGTTATGTTACTCCTCAATCATACACTTTTATTCTTCAAGTACTGATCCGGATGGAAGCCTATTAAAGAAGGGCATGGCTACTTGTCTCTAATATTCAAAAGCCAGTCTACTTCCAACTTGGTCCCAAAGACAGGAGTGGTGACGTGGCTAGGAAGAGAGAGAACCCGACAAAGGTTCTTATCCCTGGTGGGGTCATTTGAGTTATCTGAAGAAAGCTATGGATTGTCTTCCCACATCTGCCCACCATTTTGCACACGTTTCAGCTTCTTGGATGCCTGGCTAGGAACTTGAGGCCAAATTCAACTATAGTTCATTTGTACAAAGGCTAGGATTACCCGGAGAGCCCATTCTGGGGCCCACTTGGTGTTCAAACATAGCCGGGAGTATGTGTAAGCAATGCTAGGCCCAGCAGCCACACTTCCCTGTCAGAGATCCAAAATTAGGGGTCTTCTGAAGTAGAGGTCAGCCTAGCCCAGTCAGAAGCAAAACTTCAGGCTATCCCGCTAGTCACTCGTGCCCTAAGAATAGCCCCACAAGGCAAATGGATCCAGACAAGATCTAACTCATTGCTTTCCCAAGATGATTTCAGTGGACGGCTCTTACCGCTGCTGTATGCCCACTGCCCTAATAGATACTTAGCTCATTTGTCCTCATTCTTAGATTTTACAATGTATTATTCACGTTGAAATCATCTGAGGAAACACAGGACAAGATTTTCAGCTTGGATAGGATCTCAGCACATTTCACATAAAGCCTCCACGTTAAAGATGAGCAAACTGAAGTCCACGGTGGTTGAGTAATTACGTGCAAGATCACATGGGCCAGCGGCAGAAATGGAATCAGACCCTCAAAAGAAAAATACCTAAAAGCAAGCAGCAATAATCAAGACATTACACAATATGAGGAGATTTTTTTTTTTAAGCGTATAATTATTTTAATTTTGGAATGTGCCAGATTCTAGCACGTACGAAAAAACAACAAAACAAAACTCCTAGACTACTCCACTAGGTCAGCCTGCCCCCTGGGCCTCCAATCTCCTGATCCAGCCCAGCAGCCTTCCCCGAGGTCTTTGTCCTGAAGAATGCAGCTCTGCCGGAAAAGCCTACTCACTCCTCACCCGTGGGCTGTTCTCAACTCCGGGAGCTGCCAGCCTCGCCTACAACAAAGAAGGCGTATAAACACAGACACACCAGAAAGAGCTAAGGGAACAAGAGAGGAAGGCAGGGAGAAAAAGAGCCCCGGAGAAAGGAAGCCCTGAGAAGCAGGCGGCACTGGTGGGGCCTGGACAGTCTCATTTGGGCTCCGTGTCATGTCTTCATTTTCTCTCTTCATTTCAGTAAGGGGAACTATGCTTCCAGCTGAGATACGATCTGCCAAGTAAAAATCTTCAAATTCTTTTCCCAGAGTCACTAGGTTGCCTTGTTGAAAATCAGTTTGTGTTCCTCTGTAACAACTACTAGGTAAACAGTTAAGATCTTAGGGTTTCCTGTGAGGCTCTAGCCATGTTCTTCTGCCTAAGGTGGGAAGGTCCACAACACAAAGCCAGATTTCAAACGTCACTAGTTTCAAGCAGCCTCATCAACGAATGGACCCATGCGAGAACTGGTATGTTTTAGAGCAAAGGAGGGTAAGGTTAAATGTTTTTTAACAAAATTCACATGATTGAATTCTCTGTTTCAAACACTGGGTCTTAGCTTACATTGTCATCTAAATCTTCTCTTCTTTCATATCCAGACAATAATCACACAATATGCATAGTTATATAATAAAGCCCAAAGCAGGGTATTTTTCAATGCCACAACAATGCTGTGTGGAGGCTGCTGGGATGGCCATACCCAAACCAAAGAGCTGCTTTCTCACTAATGACATGGCTTTGGGAGAACATGGAAATCGCCTCTACTTCTCAAACAAATAAATACACCTTTCATTCCTCAATCCGGGGCAATTCAAATTAAAAAGAGATTCTTTTGTTGCTACCCTCACTTCTGTCAAACGTTAGAATGCACCAGGAAAGTGACAACAGGGGTGCCTGGGTGGCTCAGTCGGTTGAGTGTCCGACTTCGGCTCAGGTCATGATCTCACAGTCTGTGGGTTCGAGCCCCGTGTCGGGCTCTGTGCTGACAGCTCGGAGCCTGGAGCCTGCTTCAGATTCTGTGTCTCCCTCGCTCTCATGCCGCTCATGCTCTGTCTCTCTCTGTCTCAAAAATAAATAAAACATTAAGAAAGTGACGACATTTCTGCTTGATTCCTTTATCTGTGACTAAAGAAAGAAAGCTGGGGTCCTTTTGGACAAACTAGGAATATAGAAATGAAGTAGGCCTGCCGTCTGGAAAATGGAAACACGTGTCATGACCGCTGTGGTCCTGCGGAAAACACTGTCAGTAGTTGAAAGGAAACATCGTCTCCCCAGGACAGAAGTGTGCATCAGTGAAGCACTGGCGGTCTACTTCTAAAATCTCTCCTGGGCAGATAGGGAGAGGCAGGGCACGCAGGAAGCTCGGGAACATTCTCGTGCAGAGACGGCAGGAGATAGTAGTCCCCCTCACCTGTTTGACCAGCACGTTCTTCATGACAACCATCGGGGACAGTGCAGGGAAGGCACTGCCTGCAGTCTTGGAGTTCTGCCTTGGCCTGTCTTCCCGGCCCCAGCCTAAGGCGCTCAGCATGTCCTCGGATTCCATCTGCTCTGCCGAGCTCAGACATTCTGAGCTCCCATCTGGTGGGCAGAAGAGTGGTCAGTTCACTTAGGATCTAGGCGAGGGACTCTTAAGCAGACCTTCAAAGGAGTCAACAGACTTCTTGAAATGGAATAGAACATTTGTGATAGAAGTTTTTGTGAGTTTTTCTGAATGGGTCTTTAGCTTTCATTGTATTCTCAATGGAATCCCTCCTATCCCCAAAGATTAAGAATCCCTGCCCTAGGACAGCAGGCTTCCTTTCTAACTCTGTTACAGACCACAGCTTGCATCAGTTAGGGTGTATGTGAAAGTAACCATCACCACCACAGGAGAAATGGGTTGAAGGCTTCAGAGTGAGAGCATTACCTTCAAGAATCTGTTGCTGAAAAGGGGAACGGAGTACATGCGTGACCTGGGGCAGGATTAAGACCTTTAGAGGCTCTGGGCACCACAAAATAGAGTTACGATAATAAAAACAAAATGAACCTGTAAACCTCCAAACTTACATCCATGCTGAAATGTAAACAGCTCCATCCTAAGTTTTCTAATTGTACACTTCTGGGTAAGCTCATCAGAGCTGAAATTTGAAATGTGTCTTTGTTACCCACCTCCACCCAGTTAAGCACCTCTCTTGTGGGTGTCCTAAATGCATGCTGAGTGTGCCTCCTAGGGACCCTGCACAACTGGTGATAGACACTGCTCTCTACGGTAAAGAAGATAAGGCTGCCCTACGGGAAATCCATACAAAAAAGACTTAATTAGCTACCTGCTAGAGTAAACCAAGAGATTGCTATAACCCTGCTAGTGAGGAGTCTGGGAATACACTAAATGCTCATCAAGAATCTCAGAGTAATTTGGATGAGGCAGGACCGAAATGTGACTATAATTTAAATGTGTGTAACTGTCAACACTTGCATTTAATCAGAATCTCTCGTGATGCTTTTTAGAATTTACAGATGTCGGGGTCCTCCCCTCAATCTGCTGAACTGATTTATCTGGTGCCCAGGAAGTGGATTTTCATAAAGCACAAGTAATCCAAACGTGTGCCTCTAGTTAAGAACCATGGCCAGAAACAAAGGACCTCAGAAGAAAATGCATACCTAGTGGATGGATCTTGGTTTCTAAATGTCACAGGTGAGTTCAATTCAAGTGTTTGGCAGTAAAAAGTACAAGATGAGCCTGGACGTCTTATTGTCCCCAAAAGCAAGGAAGTGTTCAAACATAAATGCGGTCAAGTCAAAAAGATACAGGAACTATCAAGAAGGAGCTTCCACTGGCCAAACTTGGGACAATTTGAGTATCAAAAAGAACAATCATATAGGATTGACAGACTGAATTACAAAAGAATTCCATGTATCCATAGCGATACTCAAAAAAGGAGGACAAATTCTTCTTTACAGAAGAGTGTCAGCTAATAAAATGTACAAGGAACGATAAAATCAGATCACACTTTTTAAGCCACAAATGTAGTAACTGATTCAGCTAAGGATAATCAGTGGTGGTTGCAAAAACCACTGGTCAAGAGTTTTGGGGAAACAGGAGAGTCACACAGTCTCCAAGTATCATCTCATAAATTACGTTCTAATTACAAAGAGAAAAGGATACTTTTACGATACAGAAATCTGGTACAGGCTTACACACTACCTTAAACAAGTGATCAGCCAGGGCTTCATCAAGAATAAGACAAATTTAGGAGTCTCATCATGTGTTGCGATGGGAAGGATGTAACATCAAAAATGTAGTACTCTGGGGGCGCCTGGGTGGCTCGGTCGGTTAAGCGGCCGACTTCGGCTCAGGTCGCGATCTCACAGTCCGTGAGTTGGAGCCCCGCGTCGGGCTCTGTGCTGACCGCTCAGAGCCTGGAGCCTGTTTCAGATTCTGTGTCTCCCTCTCTCTCTGACCCTCCCCCGTTCATGCTCTGTCTCTCTCTGTCTCAAAAATAAATAAACATTAAAAAAAAAAAAATGTAGTACTCTGGTAAAAAGGAAATGTTTATCCTGATTCAAATAATGGGGAAAACACCAGAAAAATCCAGAGAGTGAGACATTCTACAAAACAACAGGCTATCTCATTAAAAAATGTCACTGTCATTGTAGCGCCTGGGTGACTCAGTTGGTTGAGTCCGACTTTGGCTCAGGGTATGATTTCACAGTTTATGGGTTTGAGCCCCGTGTCAGGCTCTGCACTGAGAGCCTGCTTGGGATTCTCTCACTCCCTCTCTCTCTGCCCCTCCCCTGCTCATGTTCTCTCTCAAATAAATAAAATAAACTTGAAAAAAATGTCACTGTGATTAAAAAAGAAAACAAAGGAAAGAAGGGAAGGGAAAAAAAGGCAAGGCAAGATGAGAAAGCTGTTCTAGACTACATAAGACTAAAAAGGACAACTAAATGAAATGCCCAATCCTCAACTGCATCCTGGATCCAAAACCAACAAATACACAAAAAGACAAACAAAGGACATTATTGAGACAATGGGGAAAATCTGAATATGGACTATAGCTCATTAATAACTACATCAAGGTGAAAATTCTCGGTTACGACAATGATACTTTTTGGAGATTTGTACTTAAGTAGTACAATTAAGTAGTACGACAATTATTCTTTTTGGAGATTTGTACTTAAGTAGTTACGGACAAAGGGTCAAGTGTTTGCGACTTACTTTCAAATAGTTCGGTACATAAATACATTTTTTACACATACACGTTTAGATTATATTATATATATATTTATGGGTGTGTATAAAGAGGTGTGCTTGTGTATAGAGAGAGCAATATGGCAAAATGATATCACTCAGTGGATCTGAATGAAAGCCATTTGTGACATTCACTCACTTTTGTGTAGATTTGAAATTTTTCAAAATACAAAGTTGGGGAAATAACTAAAATGGGAATAATTAAATATGGAAAAGTAATTACAATGGGAAAAACTACCTTGGTTTTACAAATCACATCACACTCCCAGGTAACTGGAACAATAACTCCTTGAACTAACTCACTGGCACCTGGCCCAGGAGTGGCCGGAGGCATCCACGGGGGCCATTTTCGGGGGCGTAATGAGTTAGATTATTTTTAATATCATCTTGTGTCTGAACAACTCAATGCTTCTGAAAGCACTTCTACATAGACAATAAGGAAACTATCAGAAAAACTATGCCCCAGACTTTGGGACATACTACCGAACAACCGGCCTGACAAGGCTGAGGTTGTCGAACGGTATCCTGAAATGTCAACATATTGGGAATAATAGGTGATAGGATTATGGAGAATGTTTCGTTTCTTCTTTGCATGTTCCTAAATTTCTAAGCTTCCTCAATGAGCACGCATTACCTTCACAGTAAGAAAAAAGGACGAAAAACAAACACGATAATAAAAGAGGTATTAGGCCTACGATGTTTCCCAAACCAGTCTGATCACAGAAATCACCAGAAACACTTGTAAAAAAATAAAATAAAATCCACCTTTCCTGAAGGCCCTCCCCCAGACCCTTGCTATCACAATCTCCAGGAGAGGGGTCTGGTGATCAGTATTTTCTTTTTTTTTTCCTCTCTCACAGCCCTGAGAAAATGAACCCTGTCCACCAGGAACCATGATCTTGGACTTCTCCCCTCCAGAACTGTGAGACAATAAATTTGTTTTCTGAGCCGCCCAATTTATGACACTCTGTTGTGGCAGTCCTAGCAAACTCATACATTATTATCCTAACCAACAGAAGTCTGGCTGGAGTAACCTCAGCTTAATCCAGGACAATATTCTTACCATCCAGATAACAGAACTACACACATTTCCAGGAGCCCACCCAAACTTCCACCATAAGCTTAGCCCATTCCCTGATCAGCAGCTTTGGCTAAAGCTCAGTATGTATGGAATGCCAAAGCAATGGAACCTTCTGACTGTCCTATGGAAGTACAACTTTATCACACAGCAGCGTGTTAGTCACACCAAATGTAGGTTTATTTTAGTCCCCACACAGAATATTTGCATTCCAGTGTCGCAACTGTGAGCATCCCAGCCAAAGTGTATTCCCCATCACTGACTACTCCTAATCAATCACTGAGTGAATAAATGATAAATGAGGTGGATTTGGCTGACACTGACCTAAAGAATTTCACCAGAGCTTTCCAGAATACTGGGCAATGGTGTCAAAAGGTAGGGCCTCTGGAAACACATGTCCCTGGATTCAAATCCAGCTCTACCACAGACCAGTTGCATGATCCTGGAAATTATGTAATCTTTCTATGCCTCAGTTTCCTCATCTGTAAAATGGGGAACATAATACTTTCTCACAGGATAGTTACTATGATTTATTGTACGTGAACTGTGATCTATGCAGCGATGGGCTGCAGCTGGTTCTTACCAGCTCTTAAGGACTGGTGGTATACATCTTTTCTAGTTCCCCAAATCCTCCCATCCCCATATTCAGTAACATCTTATTAGTAGCCTGAAATTAATTGGTCCTGGTGAGAGTATACACATCATGGAAACTGGCAAACATTATTCATCAGGGCCAGCCACTGGTTATATAGAACTTCTATGGTAAATTCTATATAAATGTTAACGTCATTATCATTACTCAGGAGGTACACCGATTCCCTTGTGAGTCTGAGAAGGCATGCTGCTAATTAAATAAATAACACTGATGAAATTCCTTCAGCAATTGATTACCTCAGGGGAATCAGTATATACCTGGATGGTGGTGACTGGTATTTTTAACAAGAACCTCAGATGAGCCTTGTGATGAGTCAAGCTTGGGAAACAATGCTGAGAGAGAAGAAAAACCCAAAGGGCTATAAGCTGGCCCTCCCTTCACTGGACTGTCCCTATTCTAGTCCTTCGATCGGCTGGTGCTCTGTTCCTCTCTGAGCAACTGTCTATTTATAATTTGGCTTCTCGTGCAGCATGCCTACAGGCAGAAAACACACCCCTCTAGGGATGAGAGAGTTCTAATTTTCCTAACAGCTGCATTTCTCACTATAAATTAATAAATCAACAAGATGGATTGATAAGTCTCTGTGAAGCTGGATAACATAAATCTTCCTCTCGGGGAGGGCTCTGCTCTCAGGATGCTGACCCAGCCAGAATCCCCTGGCTTCATCTCTCTGCATCCTCTGGACCAAAAATGTTGCCCCCAGAGCCGTATTCAAGTCACTGAAACACTCAAATGTGGAAACAGAAGTGCCGGGCACAAAATTAAATGATTCACTGCATATGCAGCTAGCCCTTTCAGATAAGGTTTGAAACAAACTAATGAGGAAAACCGTTCTACTTTCTTGTCTCTAGTAGATTCTCAAGTTTGGAACTGAGGCTCTCCAAGCCCAAATACAAACGCACAGGTACTGGCGGGGATGGGTTGTGGCAGGGAAATGTTTTTAAACACGGCAAATTACTTTCTTAGTAAAAACAGCTGTCTTAAATCACATACTCCTGTTTCGTTTGCTACATGGAGACAGCATGTAGCAGTACTTTTTTTCCAGCAAGGTAGCTGTTCCTATGAAAAAGGAGCTCAGACAACAGAATTACCAGTATTTAAATATTTTTTCCCCACTAACTTTGCAATGGCTGGAAATGTAAGGTTTAAAGTTGAGAGTCTGCACTGGAAAAAGATGTCAGATCATTCCTTCAGAACTAACCCCAGTGACTCTGCTGGGTAAGTGGCCCACCATGTGGCACCAGAATTACCATTTTAAGAGATCAGAGACTTATTTATCTTGTACATGAAAGCTTCCCACCTTTATCACACAAATGAGTTCTAGGGAGGGCGTTTTTCAGGCAAATCATTCATCACAATGTGGAAGGAATAAGGTATTTTTAACCTGAAAATCCAGAGTCCTTATCTGACTCAGCAGCTGCCATGCCGTGCTGACGAGCCACTTTCTTCATCTCTGTGCCTTTGCCCAGTTTGGCCGAGAGTCTTCTGGGGCTCTCTCTGGGTGGGTTTTTCCTCTCCATGTTTTACCGGGCTAGAAGTGGATTCATCAAGTCCTGTCTTTCATCTGGATTGCCCTGTGAGACACAACAATTACATAAGAAGACACTGCCTGGAGAGCTGAAACAGGTGATCCAAACGGTGAGGAAAGAAGGGCAAAGAACACTGGCCTCGCCCACTTCCTCTGAATTTTCCCAGAGGTCTCAGCTTACAAAGGCTTCAAGTTTGCTAAACACTAGAACGGTTTCCACCCAAAAGAAGGTTCACTGTCCTCTCCTGCCCTCAAATTCCATTACGAATTCAGGGCACACAAACCACACTCAGTGGAAGCTTTGTAAACTGCAAACAAAGGCACACTTGATTAGGCTTTTTGGAAGGGGCAACTCCCCCTGCTCCCTGAGGGAGTGAGGAGAGGTAATGCCCACCTCGGACAAGGCTTGCTTTCCCAGTGTGCACTGGCGGGCTCTGGGCTGCCACCTCCCGTAACACAGTTGCTCCAATGAACCTTTCACTTCTTTGGGTGAGGTACTAAACAGAGTAAACACAGCTCCTCATACAAGCTACATACAAGAACTTTTCTGCACGGAAGTAATATCATATATAACTGTGCTTCGATTCTACACAAGTCCACACACGACATTATTGCTGTTAATGTCCTCCTCGGTTGCTATTCCATTTTACAGAGAAGGAAGGTGAGGCTCAGCTAAGTTATACTCAGTCGTTTAGAAATACTTATCAGGTGCCCACTATGAAGCAGGCATTGGGCTAGGACCAGTACAAAGTGAATAGAACAGACATGGTCTCTGCCTTCCTGGAGCTTGCGGTCTAAATAGCCAGCCAGACATTAATCAACCAATCCCACAATTACTTAATTACTATTTGATAACAGCTATGAAAGGGAGGGGCTGACAGTCTGAGGGGACTGGGCAAAAGAAGGCTTTCCTGAGGAGGTGACATGTAGCCCAGGATCTGGAGAAGCCAGGGAAAGGGGGCTGGGTGGGGTGTAGAAGTGAGAAGGCCCTAAAGGTGCAAAGAGTCTGACACATTCAAAGAGTTGAGAGGCCAGGGAGGCCAGAGCACAGTGAATGGGGGGGGGGGGG